ATATAATACAATCTTGTATTTGTATGTTCATACTGTTTAAAAACAGCCTCTGTTTTACAAAATGTGGTGGGTTGCCAGTTGGGCTTTTACTGGGCTTGTTTTCATAGAGCTGGTTGTTTGTTTTTATCGCGAGATCTGGCAACATTGGTCTGACCTGCCGAGAAGCTCCTCACCCTGGCTGAGGTCCTTTCAGCCTCTCGTGTCCAGGATCTCACTCTCGTGACCACAGGTGAAGGCTGTATCGCGTACGGCCCAGTGTACTGGGAGGTTCGCCTTTGGGTCCGGTTCATTCTTCAGCCTCATTTCAGCGGACGAAGCCCCGATCCGCTGGTGTCTCTAACTCCGTCCTACTAGCTCATCTTTACCACGAGACATGGTCTTACTCCCACAGAGCACACAGACTCACGTCCATCCATCCATTATCTTCACCTGCTTATTCCTTTACAGGTTGCGGGGGTCACTGGTGCCCATATCCAGCAGTCACTATGCAAGAGGTGGGGGACACCCTGGACAGGTCTCCAGTCCATCACAGGGACACATCGAGACAAACAAGAAAAACTAGGGACAATTTGGAGTTACCAATCAGTCTGACATGCATGTTTTTGGTCTGTGGGAGGAAACCAGAGTACCCGGAGAAAACATACATGCACAGAGGGAACATGCAAACTCCACCCAGAAAGGCCCCTGGCTGGGATTTGATCCTGCGACCTTCTCGCTGAGAGGCGACAGCTCTACCCACTGAGTCACCGTGCCGCCCGCATCGTGAAGTCATTTTTCTGTTTTGCATGTTTGTGTGAGTTTTTTTCCTCCTCAAGTTGCAGCACGTCGAGCTCTGAAAACGGCCTGAAGTTACACCCATTTACACCAAATCTCACAAACACTTTGTCACGGACTCTGACTGTTTGTTGCAGCTTTTCATCCCGATGAGCACGGAGACGTTTCCAGAACCATTCAGAACTGGATTCGATGACGGTTTTTATTCTGGCCACACAACAGAAGCAGATTTGCAAACGAAATGTTCGTGTCCGAATGATGATGCTAGTATAAAGTTTATTTTCCAGTTTTTTTATCCCCCCCCCCCACACACACACACTTTTTTTTTGGCTTTTTCTGCATTTTAAGCCGTTCATAAATCAAAACCTTCAGCTCATTCAGGATAATGATACTGTGACTTTTCTTTATGTAACTTTTATATGTGAATACAAATACTTTTCATATAAAAGTACACTTCAGGTTGGTTTTTTTTTAACGTTTTCTCATGTACTGCTTCAGCTCAAGCCTCAGATTAAAATTTTTAATGCTACTTTTAGCGTTTAGCAACGATTGTTTCTTTTAGCTTTTAGCTACTGTTCTGCTATATTTAATTACTTACTTTTGCTTTAAGCCACATATTTACTACTTTTAGCTTTTCTTAGTCTTTTGACATTATTAGCTAGCATTTTGTTACATTTAGCTTTAGGTAAAGTGTTTTCTTAATTATAGTTTTTAGCTACTGTTCTGTTATTTTTAACTAGCCTTTTGCTACTTTTGTTTTAGCCACCCATTTACTACGTTAACTTTTTCTTGGTCTTTTGATTCTTTTTGCT